GATCCTAGGCAAATTACAACCTCTCAGAACCCCCCAGGCAACTCTCTATGCCTATAAATTTCAGAGTAGATGTGGACGTGTCTTAATATAGGGAATGACTTATACAATTGAAATCATAAGTATGGCTCAAAACAACAACAACACTCTATAGCCTTGTACCAGCTGTTCTCATATATGACATCCTATTCCCTTTTTCTGTGACTTTGCATAGGTGGACTTCCATGACTGGAAGGCATTCTCTTCAATTTTGCCTTTTCGAATCCCTAGCTTCTTTCAAATCATGTTAGTTACTGTTTCCTACACAGGTCTTCTATGATATCCACAGTTGTTAGGACTCTCATAAAATCACTTTTTGTAACTTTCCAATACTCCTACCTTCTTTTTCCCTCCACGTACACAATCAGACACACATATTAGCCTCCTTCCTATTCTTCAGACATGATCCTCATTGCCATGCTTTTGCTTTAGTTGTTCCCCCTACCTGAAATGCTCTCCTTCTCACCCTCCAACTCTTTAGAATCTTTGATTTCCTCTAAGAAGCAACTCAAGTGCAACTTCCTTCAGGAGGCCTTTCCTGGCCCTCCCAAATTCTGGTGCCATTCCCTTTTAAGGTTGCCTTCCCTCTACTCTGAGTTTATCTTGTACATTCTGATTTATATATGCTGTCTCTCCCATAATAATATAAGTTCTTTGAGGACAGGGACTCTTTCTGTTTTTTTCTATCTATGGTGCTTAGCAAAGTAAGTCCTTAAAAATGCTTTTTTTTTTTTAAAGTTTTTTTGTAATTGCTTATCTATGTACATGTTGTATCTTTAGAGTAGAATTTAAATTCCTTGAGGACTGGCAGGATTCCTTCATTTATATTTGTGTCTCCATTATCTACACACAGTGACTTATATACAATTGGCCCTTAATGGTTGTTGAATTGGTCACCATGCCAAGAATCCCAGATGCCTAAGACTGTCTGGTGGGAATCCAGCATTTTTCAGATTTGGACCTGTGCAGCTGATACTGTCAGATCCCCATGGATCTGACATGAAGATGATAAGGAAAAGATGGCCTTTATCTGTCTATTGAACTTTCAGTAATTTGAGTACATGCCCCAAGGGATTTCTGGGAGTCCTGCCATTTTTTAGCTCTTTATGGAAAAATCATTAGTGATATAAATTACTTGGAGGTTGATGTATCTGAATAACCACATTATATTTGGGAAGACATCATAAAAGCATTAAAAATTACTATTAAAGGTATCCAATTGGCAAGGGATTCTAGTCTAAAACTATTAATTAAAAAGTACCCATTGTGCAGGGGCAGCTAGGTGGCATAGCGGATAGAGCTCCAGCCTTGGAGTCAGGATGATCTAAGTTCAAATCTGGCCTCAGACACTTGACACTTACTGTGTGACCCTGGGCAAGCCACTTAACCCCAATTGCCTCACCAAAAATAAAGTAATTTAAAAAAAAAAAGTACCCATTGTGTAGAGCCTCTGTCAAGCACCTGGGTAGATCTTATGAAGAACGAGTACTAACCCTAAGAAGGCAGAAACAGTCATCACCAGGCCACATTTAAAGAATATTCAAGAACTGACAAATTTTCTAGGATTAGACAGCTACTCTCAAAAATTTGTGAAGAACTCTGCCATCAATGAAAAGCTTCACAATGATTTCACTCATTGGTATGCGACTGCGAAGAACCAAAACCAAAAGGGACAAGTTTGCCTAAGCCATCTAGAAACACTGAGAGATTTTTGGCATGGAAAAGGTGATCAGGTCTTTAAGAACTTGATTAATTGCCTCATACGTGTGCCAGGGTTAGGCTAGTTTTGTTTGTTTTTTATAGATCCAAGCCCCCTATATTATACATTGATGCCAGCCCAGAGGGCTTTGGAAGCAATTTATAACACAAGAGTGATGGCCCCTAGAAACCAATTACATTTGCAAGTAGAAGACTCCTCATAAGACTCTGATATCCTATCCACTGATTTTAGTTCTCAGCTTTGCAGTGAACTGTCACTGATAAATTCTAAGAATATGTATAGGGAGATCAATTCCAAGAGCATACAAACAATAATCCATTGATTTATATTCTCATGAGTGCTAAACTGGATACCACCAGAATGGATTAATAGCACAGGCCAACTATGAGTTCAGTGTGCATTACTGGCCATAGAAGACTAATGTGGAAGCACATGTCCCATACCATTGGCCTGATACACAGAAACCTCACTGATTGCCATGCAAGAGGTGAAGACAATCTATAATAAAGAGAACCAGGTCAATAACACAAGAAAGCAGAGCTGTGATTCTAGGATTTCCCCAGGTGAATGTGCTATCAGGGGAGTAAATATATAATTAACCAGTCTCCTTTGCCTCCGTTGCCCTTGGATGATTTGTGGCAAGTGTATCTGTAGGTTAGATGGCTAAGAAAACTGATACAGACCAAGAAACAGGAGTATGACCGTCAGGGGATCAAGCTTAGCTCCTCAGAAGGTATGCTGCTGTTGAGAGAATGGCAGAAGTTGTAGATAGTGGAATACTACTGTACCAGATCATAAATGATCAAACATGAGGTACAGTGGAATTGCTTCTTACCCAGGGGTTAGGTTTCAAGTCAGGCCAAAAAATAAAAATTGCATATAGTTAAAATTACTGTCTCTCTTGCAACTTTTAAACTGCCCATAAAATATAGTACATAACTTATCCATAATTTTGAAATAAGAAATAGCTTTAAAGTCTGGGTTAATTGGAATAGGGAATGAAGAAGGTTAGAAATGAACCCTAACTGGACAAGCCTTTCCCCTGCCTGGTGCCTCTTCTCTACCATATGTTTCCCCCTCTCCCCAGTGAGAAAGGGGCAGGGGATTGGTGGTACTGGTGATGGTGGTGGCCGGTAGTGAGAGAGCAGGGAACTTGGAAGCAGACTCAAATCTCTTATCTCATATGCACTACTCCATGGCATATACCCATTGAGTGTAATGTTGCATGGAATGGTCCACTGGTCTCAGAGTTAGGAAGGAAAGAAACAAACATTTATTATGTGTCTACTATGTACCAGGCAATGTGTTAAGTATTATACGTGTGCTTATTCATTTGATTCTCACAACAACCCAGTGAGGTAGGTGCTATTATTATCCCAATTTTACATTTGAGGAAACTGAGGCAGACAGAGATTAAGTGATTGCCCAGGGTCACACAGCTAATAAATGTCTAAGGCCATATTTGAACTCAAGTCCTTCTGACTCAAGGGCTCTATATACTGAGCCACCAGCTGCCAGGAAGAACTGGGGTCCAGCCCAGCCTCTGACACATATTGGTTCTGTGACTTTGGGTAAATCACTCAACCTCTCAGTGCCTCAGGCAACTCTTTGGAGAGAAAGTGCCTACCTGCACTAATAGAGGGAGTTCCTCACTAGACATTTCCTATATCTATGAAATCATAGGTCTAGTAAAAATAAATCTTAGTTTTGCCTCTCTCTTTATAACAAAACAGTTCCTGACTTACAGATATATAGGCATAAAACCATTCTATTACGTAGACACATGGGTGCAGCTAGAACTCTGGAGCTGACACAGAAGAGATTCTATTGGCCCCACATGGTAGCAAATGTATGTAAAAAGTATGAGCCTTAAGCCTGGCATAGTTAAAAGAAAATGCTAATGGCAGCTCCTGGCACAGCACAGCACCAGCACTTTAGAGCTGGTGTGCATAGACTTTTTATTTCTGTAATGGAATAGGAAAATCATTAGTAATAACCTAATGATGACAGAATACCTTCCTTGATATGTGGGTTGAACACATGGCTATCTATCAAGTAATCAAGTGTCTAGAGTAGCCAAGGGGTTACAGAAGAAATATTTATTTATAGCTTTCATGCCAGGATCTCTACAAATTTGATGCATCACAAGCATTTGCTACCCTTGGGGGAATTGGTTGGACTCTGTGACCACCAGGAGGTCAGCAAGTGGAGAAGTAGTCTGGAGAATCATGGGCAGAGTACAGTTTGAAGTGAACATGGCTGGCAGGAGTACTTCCTCAAATGGAGGTTCTGGGGAGGAACTCACTACTTGCAGGAGATTATAGGGGTGAAGGCATTGCCAGTATGAGGTCACTGGGACAGAGGCAGAGAAGATTAAGTCTGAGGAATCATGGTCTTGGAGCAAGCAAAGCAAATCACTGTACACACCCAAGAGGTATCAGCAAGACCTTCATGCTAGCTACTGATATGAAGCTTTCACCATCCTTTGCACTACTTACCCCCCTCCCCACTGCAACACACACACACACACACACACACACACACACACACACATACATATATACAGGAGACACTTTTCTCATCCCTGAGAATCTTCTAGAGATAATGTATATATTTGTACACGGATAGATGAAAATTACTCGGCTGCTTGATTTTTCCCTTGTTAACTTTGCTATTCTGTCTCATTTCAATACTTTGACTCTTTGGTTTATGGTTGCTGCCAGGTTTGTAATAGGTTTGTTCTGTGAAGTTTGGATTCAGTCAAAGGGCTGCACTTGAGCTCCTAGCAGGCCACATGTGGTCTCAAAGCCACAGGTACTTCACCCCTGTAACAGATTATTCATTGACTTGGGGGCTTATGTCACATTTGCATAATTATGATTATCCATATATTGCACAGAAACCTAAGGTAGCAAAGGTATTCCACAGCTGAGGTTACCTGTGCTACAGAAAAGAATTCTTTCATCTCTGCCTCTCTCATAAGAAAAACTGATCAGATAGATAAGACTTACACAGCAAACTGGGAGATGGAAATTCTAGGGTTAAGACACCTCCTTGGAAAACAATTGTTCCCAGGATAAGAATTCATAGGAGTGGCAGGGTGGAGCTGAAATGCCTTGAGGGTAAATGAGGAGAAAGATGAACTGTATACTTTAATGACAGTTTGAGATAGAAATAAGGATTTCTCAATGACCTCAATCTTTCCCAAGAGTAGGAGGTAATTTGTTTTAAAGAAGATACTTACTTGTTCCCATGCAGTAATCATTCCAATGTCAGCAGGTTCCCGTTCCACAACTGACACACCAGTCACTCCTGGGGAAGCTTCTAAAAGAGAAAAAAGAGATTCCATCAAGCTACATATTGTACAGCCCTCTTTGAGGCTCCTGGGGTTATTGCTCACAAATATTCCAATATTGGAGGCTATTTGCTGGTGTTTGCTATAGGAATTACATTCGCAAATAAAGAAGTCCCCCAGGCAGCTTTTTAAGAACAAAGCTTTAGCTTTGATGAAAGAGAGAACTGGGTCCTCAAAGTATTCATCCACTTTATCTGGTACTACAGCGTCTATAAGGTGGATGACAACTAAGAGAAAGTCCTTTGTTGCTTTCCACATAGTAGTTGCCAAATACATGTGACTGACTAAACATTAGGCATTCTGAGTGCCTAAATGGTATCATACAGAATTTGGCAGTAAGCTTAAGCTATATACTCTTGGGAAATAGGGGAGGAAGAGAAGAATTACACTTCAGCCACTCTTGATATAGCAGTTACACTCTCACTAGTTTCTCATCTGGGCAAGAGCCTTTCCCTGTACACAATCTTTGTGGAACAGAAATTCAGAAAACAGACCATAACAGCACTACTGTAAGAGATGGATTCCATCTTGCAGATGAATGTGCTTGAGAGCAAAACAACAAATAGCCCCAAACCTTAGAAACTAGTAGAGAACTGAAGCAGTCATCTATTTGCCTCTACTCTTTCAGTCATATTTGGTTACTGGCTCTTCAAAAAGAGTTAAATTACCAGAGTAGGAGTTAAGCAGAAATCTGAATAGAACCAAATCTTATTTTTACCGAAAAACCAATTTCTCTTCTCCCGACCCCATTTCCATTGTCATCTGGGTTCAAAACATTGGAATTATTGACTAATCACTTTTATTTATCTCCCAGGCTAATGTCACCAAGTCCTGTCATTTTCTCCTTTTTAATCTTAGATTCCTCCCTTCTCCTTTCTTCCTGCTGCTATTATAAATTCAGCCCTTTATCACCTTAAGCCTGAATTAATGAACCAGGCTCCTAAATGATCTGTCCTTGAACCTCTCAAAAAGCAGTAAGAATATTTTTCTTCTGATCTATGGGACAGAAAGGATATAAACCAGGAGGGTCAAACTACCACCACCTCAAACACCATTTTCTCTCAAATCCTAGTGTAAACAACTCAGGACCCTACGCCCAAGAGCCCTGGGAACAACAGTGTCCTCTAGGCCACTGACACTATTCTCAGCCTGGCCCCCCCACCCATTATCCAGGGGAGCAATTCTGCGGAGAAGAGGCCTATCACCATCTGTTGCCCAATTGCCACTGATAAACAGGTAAACCCAAGAACTCCAGGAAGAGAAGCACCCTCCACCCACAGACTACCAATTACTAAAGAAATTCTTGATGCTAAAGTCCTTGGCTCCATTAAAGTATTTAAAATCAGAAAGAGAAGTAGTTTTATTCATGGAAATGACACTAAAGACACTGCAGTATCATCTGCCTTGTTGCAGTACCTGAAGGACAGGGCGGCTTTCTTATCTGACTTGAAGCTGAGATCTCCTACTCGTGTGGTTTCCACCTATTAGAATGTGAGCCACAGTTGTCTTACTTTTCTATTTATATACCCAGTGCTTAGCACGGTGCTTTTTCATTAATTTCATTCAATCTGTCTTGCAGCTGACAGCAAATTAGCCTTCCTAAAATACCACCATGAACATGTTACTCCTCTGCTCAAGAAGCTACAGTGATTTTCTATTACCAGGTCAAGTTTAACCTGTTCAACTTGGCATTCCAGGTACTCTCTAATGATTCCAACTTACCTATCCAACCACATAAGTCCTCCTCTCTAGCAGACATAAATGTACTCCCAAAACTCACTGCTTAATCTCTACCTTTGTTCATTTCCCCTGACCTGGAGCACTTTAATCATCTTGCAAGGCCTGCTTTGTCTTATTCTTTTTCTGAGCTTTATTAGACTCTGACCTCCCAAAGCACTTAGTGTTTATGCCATACATACTGCCACATTATACTATCGTTTTCTGCTTATTTCAAGACTTCTCTAATGTAAACTCTTTGAAAGTTTTTGAATTCAGAAGACTGTTGAATATACTATTCAGCAGGATAGTATACTTTTAGTCACGGGTTCCCAAACTTATTTGGCCTACTGCCCCCTTTAAAAAATTATTTAGCGCCCCCCTAGAAATCAACTTTCTTTAACTTTTAACGTTTAAAAATTTTTTTTTTTTTAAATTTGCATCATTTAAAAAAAAATACCACCCCCCTGGATCATTCCAAGACAGTATCACCCACTTTGGCAACCTGTTAGAAAATGCAGGAACTGGGTAGGAATATCTACTCTAATAAATGTTTTCTATTTTATTCACTGCTTTCATAGGCATTGCTTAGTACTTCTCACTCTACCCCAGCCTGCACAACATACAGCATACCAAAGAATTTTAGCCCGATTGCGAAAAATGTAGGGTTGCCACTGTGAACTTTCCTGTTTGTCACTTGACCCACAGCAACCAACCATCAGTCTAACCTGTCTGCAGCCCTAATAAGTTTAGCCTATTTTAATTTTGGCCCCTACCTGCTGCCAAGTTGTGCAGGTCTGCTCTACCCCTACCAACTGTCATTGATCTATACCATTGTTCTGGTTTGGAAAAAGGAAGCCAGAGTTCCCATACTAATTCTAGCATCTTATGTCCTTCCTGTTTGACCTGACAAGTTATTTAACTATTCTGGGCCTTAATTGTTGTAGCTGTTGTTTTTCCATTTATAAAAATACTACTCGCCTTGCCAGTCTTAAAGGATATTGTGAGGGTCAAACTAGCTAGTATCAATAGACTGTATTTGTATAGCACTTTCTGGTTACAAAAGCCACGTGTATAATAATTCCAGAGGTTTTCTTAGAAAAGTTTGTGATGGTGTGCATATGTGTGTGTGTACACACACAAACACACAAATTTGTGGAGACCAGGTGACGTCACTGGATCCTCTAATGTTTTATAGCAGAGCATTCTAGTGATTTAGTGATCAACCAAGAACTGTATTCTTTGAAAATAACAAGGCCTAACTGGGTGGTGAAGTTACTTAGAGGGCAGTCTGATGGCTGAAGAAACACTAGGTCACACACACACGTTGGCAATTAGTAATTACCCACTGGAATCTGCCTGATAGGCACAGCTGCTGTGAGGGATCAGTTTACACCACCTTAAGGCTGGGCTGTCCACCTGTCTAGATACTGACTTGCAACATAATGCCTAGAGAACAGAGACAATCCAGAAAGGTAATACTTAGCACCTGATATCTCACTTGGAGGTCTCATTCAGTCAACAACAGAGTATCCACTGAAATGAGGTTGTACTAGGTACTAACTGGGGTAAAAAAGAAACCGAAAACATGGCCTTGACTTGAATGGCTAAGCAGAGAAACAGTAATAAACATGATGTCTTTAGAGCATTTTATAAAGAGAGAAAGCGACAACAATTCATTGTATGTACTGACTTTTTCTGACATTAAAGATCAATTTATCAGTACCATACTAGAGTTGCTTTTCTGGTAATAGTTACTGGTTGTGCTGTTGCTGTTTCTCTCTCAGCTGGTCCACTTTGTAATTAATGTATTCTCAAGATGACTAGATGGGGAGATTCAAGCTTTGGTCATGGAACAGACTAACCTATTTGGCTCATAATATACAAACTTCCACACTGGAAAAATTGGGTTGCCAAGTATTTACTAAGTGCACATTCTATTTCAGCCCTGACATATTTAGGACACATGAAACAGTCTTTACCTTTAAGAGGTGTACAGTCTTATATATTACATGCAAGCTGAAGTAAAATTGTTTGGGATATGGGTGAAGGGGAAAGGAAGATCAATGACAACTGGTATGGTCAGGAAAGGCTTCATGGAGGAAGCAGAATTATATATCTAGACCTCAGAGTTCTTTTAATCCAACTTCCTCATTTTACAGAAAAGGAAACTAAGGCCAAGGGAGACTAAGTGTTTTGCTAAAGGTCACACAAATAATAAGCATCAAATTAAAGATATGAACCCAATTCTTTTGACTTTGAGGGCTAGTGCTCTTTTCACTGTGCCACAATGAGTTAAGCCTTGAAACATTACTTGTATTAGAGGTGAAGGTATCTCAGGTTTCAGGAATAGTACTAATGAAGGTAGGCTTGAGCATTACACAATTGTGAGACAGTCGAGTTCTGAGTGTACAAAGACAAGATGTTTCCACTGGTAAGTATGAGGGGGCCAGATTGTATGGAAGGCCTTGAAAGCCAAGATGAGGTAGCCACTGAAAGGTTTTTTTTTTTTTAGGATATGGAATTTAAAGTACTAAGTCTAACCCAACAGAACCTTATGCTGGAACTGGAAACTTACAGCTGTTAAAACACATTACTGGCTGATCACTTGTCGAATTTAATAACTCTTGGGTAACGCAACCCACCTACAGTTTGGTCCTAATTATAAAACTTTGGGATAGTATTTGTGATGAATGCTTTGAAAATAACTTCTGGAGGGGCAGCTAGGTGGCACAGTGGATAAAGCACTGGCCCTAGAATCAGGAGGACCTGAGTTCAAAACCGGCTTCAGACACTTGACACTAGCTGTGTCACTTAACCCCACTGCCTAGCCAAAGAAAAAAAAAAAAGAAAATTTCTGGAGCTATGCAGCTAGCATTCCTCTGAATATGAGCAAAACCCCTTTTTGAAAGTGACATCAGAGATTTTTGTAGGATCATCTCTGGCTACTTTCTCTTTCCTTGGAGATCTTATCAGCTTTCATGGATTCAAGTATCAGCTTTATGCTGACAAATCCCAGACTGATATAACCTCAATTTCTTTCCTTAATTTCTGTCCCATGTCACCATCAACATCTTAAACTCAATCTGTATAAAATAGAACTCATTATCTTTGCCCCCAAACTGCCCCTCACTCTAACCTCTCTATTTCTGTTGAGAACAACCATCTTCCAGGCATACAGGTTAGAAATCTTGGAATCATCCTTAACTCTTCCCTCACATTCAATAATTTGCCAAGTCTTGTCAATTTTACTTCCTTCTTACATCTGATTTCTGTCTACCTCCATGTTCAGCATGATTATCTCCTTTTGCCTGGTCTATTGAAAGTCTTATAAATGATCCTCCTGCCTCAAGTCCCTTCCCTCCTCAGTTCAAGCTCCGTGTAGCTGCCAAGTCGCTAAGACAGAGGTTTGATCACATCACTCCCCTGCTCAAGAACCAATCTTTCTCTTTCAAAGCATTCAAACGGTTAAGTAATCTCATTGATGTGGATGTTTCCTTCAAACATGTAACCCATCCTTGCCTATTTTGCATATTTTCCCATAATTCATGGAGGAGGATATTCAACCAATGTGTAAGAGCCCTTTTTGGATTCCTCCTGACATTCTGAAAATGTCAGTTGTGCAACAGGGCTGTCCATCTTTCATCATTCAATGCAGTCCTACATTTTTCCAATGTCTTTTACCTCGTTTTTTTTTTTTTGTAAGTTTCCCATTGGTTACATGTTGAAGTTTGTTTATACCCATCACGAAACCTCTTCATTGCCCTCTGTATATTAAATTCTTCAGAGACTGTTACATTCCATACATCTCAGCCATACAGTATTTGTAGAATGGTGGTATTTAAAGGATTGGCTTTTTTCTGGAAAATGCTTGGCTTCACGAAAGGAGCTTTGTAATTTTCTGAAAGTAATCCAGCATTCTCTCTTCCTGGTTAATCTGCAATCTAGGGTAAAATACAAATTCCACTTTTTGCCCTTTAATCAGGCACCAATCTACTTTTCCAGGTTTATTTCCCTAGCCTTTCCTTCATATTCTCTGTTTCAGCCAAGCTGGTCTGCTTGCTGTTAACCTGAACAGTACTTTACATCTCCTTTCTCTACATCTTTACACATCTGGAATGCATCTGGAATGTATTTTCTTTATCTACAGCTCATGGTATCCCACCATCGTTCAAAGCTCAGACCTTGTCACGTCTATGCAAATTATTTTCCAAATATTTTTCATATAATTACCTATGTACCTGCTGTGTCCCCCCCAATAGAATGCAAGCTCCTCAAGCGTACAGATTGCTTCATTTTTGTATTTGTATCCCCAGCACCCTGAAATAGCATGGTTTCAAGTCGAACTTCTGATGGGCTGTGACCTTGATCAAGCTACTTAACCTCTCAGTACTCTGGGCAATGTCATGAGATTATAAATTGCGGAGGGAGCTGTTGATTGCAGTTCAATTTACCAAAGAAATCACAGGTCCAGTCCTTATCCCATCCCTAGTCCTTGGCACATCCCACATTGCCAGACTGTTAAAGCCTTTCCGTTATTGGCATCCGCGAGCACAAACACTCCCTCGGTAACGCTGGGATTCCTGTAGGACTTTGGCCTGCCTAAAGCCCTCCCTTCCCTTCCCGGGGTAAGGCTCTCCTGCCTCCTCCTCCTCGGACCCCCAGCACCTAGCACGGACCACGCACCTGACTGTATTTAAACCTCCACACTCCTCCTAACTCCTTTTCTCTACACCATTCCCTGTCTGTCTTCATCTTCACTAGACGGTGTGGTACGGGGGGGGGGGGGGGGTGGTCCACCTCGGTCTTCAAACCTCAAAGCGCTATATAATGGTCAGTTCCTAGTCATCCCTGAGCCTCAGTTTCCTTTTCTGTGAAACTGAGGTCGATGACCTACCACACGGGGCCGTCGTGCTGAAAGCTCTTTGTAAACCTTAAAGGACTCTACCCACGGGGGCTTCCCGTTCCTTGCCCCCTCCGGCCCCTCCCTCAGCACCCCCTCTTTCCAGCCCCCCCCTTTGCCTTCGGCCCGCCCCTCCCCCTGCATCCAGCGCCTCTGAAGGCTTTTCCTCTCCTGCCTGACTTCTCCCCTCCCACGCCATCCCTCTTCCACCTCCCCCTCGTACTCGCTCCCTGACCCAGGATACGGGCGACCCCCAGAGTTAGTTTCTCCAGGTGCGGTTTGTTGCCACCCAAACACTGCAACGATCGGTCCTCCATGGCTCTTTTCCCCAGTCTGTGCGAGCCCGAGGGTCAAAGGTCAGGACGAATCGTGAAGGGGGCGGGGCACAGGAGGGAGGAGGAATTCCATAACTCCGTCCCCTCCGCTCGACTTCAAGAAGCGATGCCGGCATGCCGGGAATCCTAGTTCTCTCTTCCCCTCTTTGGGCCTGGCGCTCCTTCTCTGTTTCGATTCCATCGGAGGCAGAAAAGCCGGGGAGACGTTATCAAACCACAACTCCCAGCTACCACCTCTCTTCCGCCTTCCCTTATTCCCTCTCACACCCGTGGGCCCTGACACGCCCACGCCTGACATGTTGGGGCGGGCCTCCAACACAGCAGAGCCAATGAGGGGACGATTCTGGCGGCCGGGGCGGTGCAGCTGAGGGGAGACCCCGGGAGTGGCGGTTGTTTCAAGATGGCGGATGTGACGGCCGTCACCGGCTCGGGGGTCGAGGCGTACTGGAGCCGGGACCGTATCCTTTGCCCGGCGGGCAGGGGGCGCTAGTGCACACGCTACATCGGGAGGGAAATGAGGGGTCTGGAGGGAAGGCGAGGGCAGCTGTGCGATGTACCCCCCTGCCCCCCGTCCCCGGAGGTCTCCCTCAGGGTAGGGCAGGTGAACGAGCAGCCCGTTCCTTGCCTGCTGAGGAGGCGGCAGCTTCTGGGAGCGCCGAGGCCCCGGTTCGGACCCTCCCCCTCGCCGTCCTTCTATCAGGGTTTCTTCCTCTCTGGCGCCTGGGGGCGGGGCGGAATGACCTCCGACCTCCCCTCTCACCCCGCATTTAAGCCTTTCAGGCGTATCAGGCCGAGGTGGGGGGGAGGCGGCTGTGCCCCGGGCCAGGGTGACCCCGAGGGATGGGCTTGACCTAGGAAGGAGGAGCAGGAAAAGTAGGGGGCGTAGGTTGGGTTTGGGGGGAGTTTCCTGAGGAAGACGCTGAGTGGCCCGGGAAGGTTGTCCCCTGAGTCCGGGGGCGGGGGGACCCGTAATGAGCCCAGGCCTAGGTGCCCTGCTGTGGTTCTAAGTGACCTGGGATCAGGGACGTGCTAGGTTTGGTGGGTGCAGGTGCAGGTGCAGAGTGAGGATGCTGCGCAGTGTGAGGTCCTTCAGTGGGCAGAGTGTGGTGTGAATGTGCAATGGTCTGGATGGTGATAGCAGGGACCCCAAAGCAGGAGTTCTTCACTTTTATTGTGTGTCATGGACCCTTTTGTCAGACTGGTGAAGCCCTTCACCGAATGTTTTTAAATGTGCAAAATAAGATACGTAAATTTACGAAGAAAGTTAGTTATTTTCAACTGGTTATGATGTTTATTACAAATGTTATATTTATAATATAATAGGTAATGATATGATAATGTATATATTACATATATTATAGTTGCTATGTTCTGTGTATACACACACATAAGCAAAACAACAAAAAAAAAACCCAAATAAGTTTATGGATCTCAAGTTAAGGAACTGTGCCCTAGACTGTGCTTCTGGAAGAGTTGTACAGCATTATAGACATGGGCATTGGACCACTGTGGATTTATGCTGACCAAGCCATACTCTCAAACTAGTTTTCCTGGATCATCTCCTTAAGGTTAAGTGCTAATTAATTGGCAGATACAAAGTCTGACCCCAACCTTGTTCTTATAAGCATGGTGCCCTAAATATAGTCTAACCATGTAGAGCAATGTATCCACTTCTTTTTCTCAACTTTAATGTAAAGTGCTAATGTCCCTTTTGGTGGTGAAGAGCTAGGGTAGAAATGAGTGGTGGTGTAATCCTTTAGAAATATGCAGGTAAAAGAAAGCAGTTTGATTCAGCTTAGGAAAATAATGGCCATAAATCATCTCAAGATATGCCATGGTGATTACGTTTATAGATCATTTGATTGTGCATTTGCTTGGTGTGTCATTGGTTATCATAATAACAGCTTGTCATGGCTTATCAACCATCCAGAGTTTTCATAATTGAGCTTTGAAAAGAACCACATTAAAAAAAAACAAACAACTTTTCTAGTAAGATACCCAAATTCTGGTCTTCCCATTTAAGTCATTTGGAAAGTTTTTTGTTTGTTTTTTTCACAATGAACACTTTTAATACTTCCATTAACCCAATTAAAAAAATTTTGAGTTGAAGTTTTCCTAGCCCCAGACAGCATCATCTTTTATACTTTTGTCCTTCTGTGACTATCAGCTGTTTTTTACTGTTTCTTCTTGTCACACAATATAATTTAGCTGTGGTATGTTGCACAAGAGCCTTACATACCTAATGTGTCAGCACTGTGAGATATGACATGATGTCATCTTAGGAGTCAGACTTCTGACTAAAAATGAACCCAAAAGCAGTGCAATGCTTTCTTACTCCATGGTAGTTCATAGTAAGTGCAGAGATGTTAGCAATTGATTACTCAAATGTACTTGCTTTGTTTTTATCAGGCATATTAAGTGTCAACTTTAAAGAGCTTGGTCAAAACTTAGAAATTGATTTTGCCTTGCTATTTAAAAAAAATTTAAATTAGATATCGCAAAAGGATTTTATGTGAATGATTGTGTATTAAGGAGGCAGCATGGTATACTAGTAAGAACAATGGCTCAGGTGCCAGAAGACCTGGGTTTTTATCCAATCCAATATTTAATACCAGTGTAACCACGGGCTAATCATTTAACCTTCTTGGGTCTCAGTTTTCTCACCTTTAAAATGACAGGGTTAGAGTAGGTAGCTTATGAGATTTCTTTCCACCCTAGATTTATGATCTTAGGTTTGGAAAAGCAGAACATGATCAATTATGACTATATGCATACTCATTAGTCTGCTGAAAATTTACATGAATCGTTATTAAAGATAAGGAATTCTAGACTGTACTGGAAGTGGAATCTCTGGGGCTGTTAGTGTGAGAGGAGCTCTGTGCTAGATATTAATTCGAATCTTTAGATTTTGGGTAGAACTGGACATACTCTCCAGAAATCCTTTTAAAATTGCTATTTTTGGTTGGTTGTTGTACTTCCAAAAACAAAACAGTAATTAAACATCCTCAGTTAGTGGCTTTATCATCTGGTAATTGTTGCACAGCCTCAAAGTATAAATAAGATCTAGTTCCTTGTCCTCACATAGTTTATAGTTTAGTAGGTGGCAAAGATGTTGGCGTAGGTAACTATAAGAAACAGTATTACATTTTATGTATTTAGAGAGTTACATAGTGGTAACAAGGTCTTGGAGTAAGATCATTAACTGGAAGACAGTTGTTATTGGAGAGGTTTGTTTTTTTTTAAGTTTTTGGTGAGGCAGTTGGGGTTAAGTGACTTGCCCAGAGTCGCACAGCTAGTAGGTATCAAGTGTCTGAGGCTGGATTTGAACTCGGTTCCTTCATACTCCAGGGTTGGTGCTCTATCCACAGTGCCACCTAGCCTCCTGAGAAGTTTTTCTAGAGACTTTTAAAGGAAGTGATGTTTGAATAGAACTTTAAGTGGAAGGGAAAGATAATTTAACAGGTGAAGAGAAGGAAAGGAGGGCAATCTAGTCGGTGCAGGAGATAAAATGCTGGCTTTGGAGTCAGGAAGATAGTGCAATGTAAAAAAGGCTATTTAGTTTTGGATAATATAGGAAGAATTTCTAGTCACTTGTAGATTTCTGAAAGTTATGTTATGTTGATTCTTTTTCTGTAGCACTGTTGTAACCTTGGCCTTCCTGAATTTCTTTTTCTGAAATTCAAAAACTTTTTGTCCCTAAATTCCTTTGGGTTCAAAAATAGTAGAACATCAAGATATATTTCATGTAGTAGAATAGACATTACCTTTGTTTCTGCATTATTTACTTGCCCTCTAACACTGTACTTCACGGCTGAAGGGCATTTTGAAATTATCAGGTTTTTCTTTTGCCTAAAATAACTTGCCAAGTGTTCCTAAACATGAAAAAGACAAAACATGTAGCACTTGCTTAACTCCTCACTCAGAAATGGGAAGTGACCCCTTTAATTGAAAAGCCAGGGCAAAAACCTAAAAATAGATTTCATAGTGTAACTTTTCTCATAAATTTTCAGTGATAGTAATACAGCAAGATGATATTAGAGATGTAGTGATATGTCAAACAGTCTTCAAAGCAGTTTTACAAAGCAATTTAGATGACAGCTATGTCTATACAAAGAAAGATTCATTTTCTCAGGAATCTCAGTTTGACTAAAGCACTCAATTCAGTTTTCTGAATAGTTTATTTTCTAGTTCTTTGAAAAGCTGTTTATACATTTCAAGGTTAAAGGAAATTGTAAATTATGTCAGAAACATGGGACAAGAGCAGTGTTTGGATTATTTATTTATTTTTCCCCTTAATGCTCTCATGTACAGTTTCTGATGAGGAACATGCGGTGCTACATATTTCAGGTATGTTTTTTTATATGAATGCGATAGAGCTGGGGGTGGGGTAGTGCTTATTTGGGGAAAGAAGACAGAACTTTTTTTCAGCTACAGTTAAATTAACTAGTAAGTACTGATTAAGCTACCACTGTGTGTTATGTCCTGTAGTCCCTACCCTGATTGAGCTTACATTTTATTGGAGTTGTACAATATGATTTCATATTAGTATATACAAGATAGATACAAAATCTGTAGTGATTGGGGATGGGGAGGCACTAACAATTTAATGAACCAGGAAAGGCCTCTTGGAGTCCAGTGGACTGAACCAAAGCAGAGCATCAAAACCTAAACTTTGCTTCTTTTGAACAGCTGCCCAGGGATTAGTTGATGTTCTTTTTATTTCCTTAAGCACTTTCTCTTTTTCTTTTGTTGATTGATGTATTTAGAAATATATCTAGTCAGCTAGCATTTAAGTGCCTACTCTGTGAAACATACACTATACTAAGTGCTGGGGATACAAAAAAAGGGCAAAAAATAGTCTCTCTTCTCAAGGAGTTCACATTCTAATGGGGGAGATAATATCTAAATAACCATATACAGACAAGATATGTACAGGATAAATTGGGAGTATTCTCAGAGGGAAAGTGCTAATGTTAAGGAGGACTATGAAAGACTTCCAGAGGGGGATTTGAACTGAGACTTGAAGAAAGCTAGTGAAGCCAAGAGGCAGAGATAAGGAGGGAGAGAATTCCAGGCATGGGGGACAGCCAGTGAAACTGTCTAGAGTTCGGAAAAATAGTAAGGGTAGGGAAGAGAATGAGTATTTACATAATGATTATTATGTAAGAACTTGGTCCTATGCCAAGTACTTTACAAATGTTATCTCATTTGATTGCTACAACAGCCCTGTGAGATAAATACTGTTAGAATTTTCATTTTACAGTTGAGGAAACTTAGGTAGACAGATTAAATGACTTGCCCAGGGTCACATAGCTAGTAAGTGTCTGAGGCTGGATTTGAACTCAAGTCTTCCTGACTCTAGGCTCAGCACTGTATCCACATTGCCACCCTGCTATTTTTTTGTGTGAGGAACAGCAAGGAGGCCAGTGTCACTAGATTGTAGAGTAGGTGGAGGGGAATAAGTTGTAAGAAGATTGAAAAGGTAGGAAGGACTTTGAAAGCCAAGCAAAGGATTTTGTATTTGATCCTAGAATAATTGAGAATCTTTGGAGTTTGTCAAATAGGGGGAATGTTATGGTCAGGTCTGCATTTTAGGAAGCTGAGTGGAGAATGGATTGGAGTGGGCAGATAATTGAGGCAGAGAGACCAACTTGCAGGCTGTTGTAATTGTCCAGATTGGAAGTGATGAGATCCTCTGCCACCATAGTGACTATGTCAGAGGAGAGAAGGGGGTAGATACAAGGGATGTTATGAAGGTGGAGATGACAAGATTTTACCTCTGATTAGATGTGGGGGGGAGAGTGAGAGTGAGGAGTCGAGAATGATGCCTAGGTTTCAATCCCTGGTGTTTGAGAGGCAGTGAGTACCCTAGATAGTAATGGAGAAGTTAGGAAGAGGGGAGGGTTTTGGAGAAAATATAAAATCTCTTAAGAAAAATTTCCTCCTCCTTAAAAAGGTAAAGTACCCTTACAGCTGATTATTATTATCATGGCAGGGGGAGGAGTAATTTCCTACTAATGTGAATAACAGAAATAATCCACAGATATTATCAATGTCAGAATGTTAGTTACTAGAGTTAGGTTGAGCTATGGCAATTTTTTTTTATTTTTTTAAAGATATATTAAAGTTTATATTTACTAGGTTACTTGGTATTATAGGAAAAGCACTGACTTTAGAATCACAGGACCTAGATTCAAATCCTGTCTCACTTAGTACTTGTGTCACTTTAGGTGAGTCATTTAACTTCCCTGAGCCTCAGTTTCATCATCTGTAAAGAGAGGAGGTTGGCCCCTTCTAACTCTAAGTCAGTGCTCTTATAATTGCTTTTCATTTAATTGATAACTGTTGTAAGAGAAGCCTTGTTGATTTGAAATACAGGCTCAAATGTTGTGTGTGTGTGTGGGGGGAACAATTGAGGTTAAGTGACTTGCCCAGGGTCACACAGCTAGTAAGTGTCAAGTGTCTGAGGCCGGGATTTGAACTATAGGCTCAAATGTCTTAAGGATTTCTAGGACATTAACAGAATTTGATGTTAGTGTTTATCTTTTACTTGCAAGCTTCTCATTTTAGTTCACATCAGATAGAAGACATTAAAAATGTTAGGATGAGAATCTTAGTACTGAGAATACTGTCTTCTGAAATTGTGTTTGAATTTCTGTAGCAGGAACTGGTAGAGTGAAACACAAGTCGAAAATTTCCAAAGCTGGTGTTAAGCTGAAGGCTTCTAAGGCAGCTGATCCTTCTGTTGCTATGGATCCTTTCAAAGGTGCAGGAGACTCAGCGTGTAAAGAGGTTAGTAGAATTTCTTGTTTTTACTTAGCATTTTAAGCCTGGAAAAAGGTACATAAGGCTGCCCAGTGGCCAAAGTCATGCAGCTAAACGAATCCTTGAGAGTTCAACAAAGCTACCTTGTTTGGGTGGATGACAGGCCATAGGGAATGCCACATTGTCAGACCAGGTCCCTCTTTGTACTCATATACGAAATTGTGTTGTTTAAGGTATATAGGAAAACATTCCAAGACCTCCTTCAAAACACATTTCATTTTTGAATGTATGTTATCCTAGATTTGGAGGATGTGGGTATTTGTAGTTTATATAAGAATTGTATTATGTAGGACTATCAGTCATCATTGCTGCCCTGTGAGATTTGAAGTCTAGGCTCAGGACACTTTTTTTTTTTAAATTTTTAGGCAGTTGGGGTTAAGTGACTTGCCCAGGGTCACACAGCTAGTGTTAAGTGTATAGTCTGAGGCCAACAGGACACTCTTAATCTCTCGTTTGTTGTAAGTAATAAAGGCAGCATGGGATAGCGGATAGAGTGCAGGTCCAGGAATAGGGAAGATCTGGGTTCATATCTTGCTGTGTGTCTATATTTGTTGAAGATTTCTGAGATTACTGTGGGCTAAGTTATAAAATGTATACAAGACCTTAAGGCTTAATTTGTGTGCATTAAAATCTCTGCAGAAAAAAAAAAAACCAGTTCAAACTGAGTTTTCAATCTTACTTTCCCTTTATAATGTACCTAAGCTAAAGATCTGCCCATTAACAAGTGACAAATGTTATTAAAAATTACATATACATCAAAAAAAGACTAGATTCTATTAAGGTGAATTTATAGGATATAGATTTGAAGCTGTAATGGGCCTTAGACATGATCTAGTCCAACTCCCCCTCCCCTTTTATAGTTGTTTGTTTTACAAATGAGGAAATCATAGGAGGTTACATTTATTTGACCAAGGTCACACAGACAATAAAAGATCTGTGACTAAAATCTAGATGTTCTGACTCTAAAACCCAGTGTACTTTCTCTTTACTATGTCATTCTTTTTTTAGCAGCCCTTCTTCTACTTGTTTGGGGGTGGGGGTGGGGGGCAGCTCTCTGGGTAGGTTGGTGACATTCATTGTCAGTGTGCAAGGACCTGTAATTTCATTGGTGTAGGAATTCCTTTAACCAGCTGAGATCATAATAAAATTTAGTAAGTAAATTTTTTATGGTCGGGTAGGTGGCACAGTGGGATAGATTGCCGGTCTGGAGTCAGGTCAGAAATACTCATCCTCCTGAGTTCAAATCTGACCTCAGATACTTCTAGCTGTGTGACCCTGGGTAAGTCACTTAACTTTGCCTCAGTTTCCTTATCTGTAAAATGAGCTGGAGAAGGTAATGGCAAACCACTCCAGTATCTTTGTCTAAGATAACCAGTTGCAGAGAAGATTCTGACTTGCTGTGGTGGAAAGAATTTCCTTACCCTGGCAGTTCTCTTCTGGTGAAATCACAAGTTTAGTCCCTATCCACATTTTACATATGAGGAACTTGAGTTAGTCCTTTTATTACTCAGTGATTGATTCACTATCACACCTCCCAAAAATTATTCCAAGCTTTTTCTTCCCTTATTGATTCCTGCCCCATAACTCCCTGTCTTGTTTTCTTTCAGTTGAGAACCTTGCATTTTACTTTACTGAAAAAAATTGAGGTTGTTCATTGTGAGCTCTCACATTCTCTTTACATTAAAACCTTTTAATATCATCTCCTACTCTCTCCTTTTTTCCTGGCTCTGAGGAGGAAGTGTCCTCTTCTTTTGCCAACTTCAGCATCTCAACATGTGCCTTTGATTCTTCCCTGTCCTTCACTGGACCCTGCTGTCTTCAGGCTGTCATCCCCTATCTCTCTTCCTTTTCTCAATCAAATTCCTTGAAAAAGCTGTCTCGACTGCTTGTCTCTACTTCCTCTTCCCTCACTCAACTCTTTGCAGTCTGACTAATGACCTCATCACTCAGCTGAAACTTCTCTTTTCCAAGTTACTAGTGATCTCTTAATTGCCAAATCTGATGGTCTTTTCTGTAGTCGAGTCCTTCTGAAACTATCTGTTTTTGACTCTGTTGACTACAAGATGTACTGAACTAGAAGCTGGGAGACCAACTAGGAGTCCCTTACAAGAATCTGGGTAAGAGCCTGAACTCGAGTAGGATCTGTGTGAGTGGAGAGAAGGAATCAGAAGCAAGAAGTTTTGCAATTTATGAGGTAAAGGAGAGTAAAGAGTCTAGGGTAGAGGTTCCCAAACTTATTTGGCCTTAAAAAAAAATTACTCAGCATCCTCTGGAAATCTACCTTTTTTTTTTTAAACCCTTTAACTTTTTTTTGAAGTTTGTATCATTTCAAAAAAATATGAAATTTTTAAAAATAACATCTTAAATTTAATAATTTATTGTAAATTTGTGTTTTTTTGCCTGCATTTTTTGGTGATGCAATATTGCATCATGTAACTATATAGCTTCGTATTGTAAAGAAGTCATTATAGGCACATATTCCTGCCAATGCATGCTGGACTTCCCAGTAATTCCAGATATGCTTGCCTGCTAACATTTGCTTGTTAAGACCCATGGATGGACTTGACTGTTGATCAGTTATAACTTGCATTTTGTGTTTTTATTTGGGAAATAATTTAATCACCAGGACTTTAACTCTGTTACACAACAGATGAAACATGTACGAATGGTTTTTCAAAATTTTCTTCTCTTGTTTGCTTATGCTTCCACTGCCCTCTTATTTTTATTCACTGCCCCCCCCAATTGCACCCGAGGCTACTACTGTCCCCCTGGAAGATTTCAGTGCCCCCCAGGAGGGTGGTATCATCCATTTTGGGAACCTGTGGGGATGATGTCAAGGTTATGAACCCTGATGGATGGAAATAAGGAAGTTGGGAAGGAAGGAGGAAAGACAAGAAGCCCAGTTTTGGACGTGTGTTTACATTAGGATGTCTTTAGGACATCCAGTATGAAACACACAAAAGATGATTTGTGATGTGGAAGTGAAGGTCAGGGGAGAGACTGGGGCTGGATAGGTAGATCTAGTTCAGTACATTCTCTATGCAGTTGCCAAAGTGAATCTGACCCCGTTACTTTCCAATTCCCTGTTGTCTTTAGGACAAAGTACAAATTTCTCTATTTAGCTTTTAATGCCCTGTACACCTAGGCTCCAATTCATTTTCCCAGGTGGAATGGTACTCCCCCTCCTCTACTCTTTGATCTCTCTAAACCTGCCTTCTTCCTATTCTTCACATACAGCTCCATTTCGTGGCTGTCCCCCATGCCTGGAATGAACCTCTTCTTTAGAGAGTCCTACTTTTCCTTTAAGATCAATCTCAATCACGATCTTCTACATTGTTTTTTCTTCTCCCCCCAACTGCTATTTCCCTCCCTCACAAACTGCTTTGTCTATATTTATATTTATTTACTTTCTAGTCTATATGGGCATATATGTATATATGCATGTACATACATACATATGTATATTATATATATATAATATATGAATATATTAATTTTTTAAAATGTACTTTTTGTTTCCCTCTGTAGAATGTAAGCTTATGATTAGGGATTGTTTGATTCTTTGTACTTGTATTTTCAGTGCCCAGCACATAGTAAGTGCTTAATAAAAATTTGTGGCTTAATCAGTTGATTTATGGTAGCAGAGGAATAGAAAGAAGGAGACACTTTGGAGAGAGACTTTGTAGGTAGAATTGAGAAGGTTTAACAGTTGCTTTGCATCTGAGAAGAGAGGGACCTTTAGAAATCATTTAATTTTATTGATGATGAAACTAGGAGAGGGAAGGATTCAACATTAACATTTTTAGCATTGAGCATTGGGTGAATGGTGGTGCCATTGACAGAAACAGGAAAATTAGAAGTAGCAGGTTTTGGAGAAAACATAAATTTACTTTTGAATTTTTAGAGAATTTTCTTTGTCCCTGCACTGTAATCTTGAACTACGTGAGCTGTAGAAATGGTGCTTGTCTTATGCTACTTTCACTATTATTTAATATTTTTCTATATATCTCTAGTGTCTTGAAGTCTGCAAAATATGTTTAACTTCTTTATATTTACCATCTCTGGCACAGATCCTTACATACGGTAGGTACTCATTAGATACTTGTTTATGATGGTGATTCTATTATCTAATATTGGCCTAAACTGTTGGTGTGGAGTATAAAACAAAATACAGGACATTTCTAACTCCTTATCATAAGGTCAGGTTTGATTTATCACAAAATGAAAGGTAGTTCTTGCGTATATTTTTTGTTATTTTAAACATTGGTCTTACAGGGTACTGTTTAGGCTACTGCTGAACATTTGTTGTAATATCTGTTAAAACTGCTTAGTTTTTTTTTCCCTAAAATTGCTCTTAAATTTGAGAATCATTCTTATTTTTCCTTGACTTGTCCAGGCCGTTGTCCCAGGATTTTGCTACTTTTCAGTTCTGGGAATATACTGTTCTCTAGCTCAGGAAAGAAGAAAAACTTCTTTTGATTTGCTCTACCTGTCCCTGCTGGTAGTATTCTCTAAAAGTCTCATTATACTTTAAGTCACCCTTCTAATATAGTTCTTCAGTACTCAAGACAGCTGTGCTTTGGTCTGTGTGCATGTTCCTCTCACTGATGCAGATCCCATCCCCATATACACATGCATGCCTCTTCATGAGTTCTTGTAGATGAAAAAATTGACTGGTGGTCAAACCCCTAGAGATGAGCTTCTTTGTGCTTCAGGAGACCTACACTCCATTGTGGGGCCCAGATTTGAAGTTTTCTAGCTTAGTTCTGCAGGTTTGAAAACTTGCTGTTAACTGGTTACCTTCATGATATGATGACGTTGTAGAAAAGGACTGTAGTAGAAGCTGTCAGTGTCCATTGGGTTTAAAAATTGTCAGGAAATGCTACAGTTGCCCAAATCTAGAAGCTACTCATCAAAATTGTGAGTGGCCTCATTAGTTTATTTAATATTTCATGTTTATTTAAGGTCCAGTTTTTATTAATTGTCTTTCCCTGCTTTTTACAAAAATCCTCCTCCTTTCAGGTAGGGACGGCCTGTTACCAACAACAGAGCCAGGCCCAGGCTTTGTTTGCAGTAAAAACCCTGAGTGATGGAACTCTAGAACCCCAGTGTTACAGAATGTTAGAGCTGGGGGAGCTCCTATGCCTTGTTCAACACCCTTATTTTGCAGCTGAAGAAACTGAGACTCAAAGAGGTGACTTGATGGGGCTGGCTAGAAATGATCAAAATGACATGTTGTATTACATATAATGATTCAGAACAATAAAAAGATTTAACTTTTAGATAATGCTTTTAGGGAAGATATTATCCTGCTCATTGAATAGAGAAGGAACCTGAGATATTGCCCAGTGAACTGACTTGTCAGGTCAGGCAAATCAAAGTAAATTAGTGGCAGAACTGATAACAAAACTCTGGTCTTCTGACTGATTTTAGTGTTCTTTAAACTCTACAACTCTGCTTTGACTTTTTTTATGTGTTATCGTTATGTTTATGTTGATATTAGGATGTCTTTGATTTTGGATTCTTGTTGACAGCCTGCTATGAGGAGTTTAAATGATATCCACTTAACTGAATGTAGACACTTTTGAACACAGAACATTTTTCTGTTATCTAGGTGCTTGAGGAAAACTGTTCTCATCCCACAGTCTGTCCTGAGATAAGCGTTCATTTTCCTTATTTCCTGCTTGCTTTTAATGCCCCTAAGATGGAGATGATAATATAAGAAGTTACTATAGAGAAGTTCAGAATATGATTAATTAGTTCAGATTTTAACTTTAAATTATTAACATAATAGAGAAAATGGCAGTGCTTTTTTAATGTCTGAAAATATGGAAACAGAACTGGTTGAGCAAAGGTTCCTTTAAACTGAAGTGAAAACTTTAAGAATCTAGGGCAAGTATCAGCAGAACAAACTGATCCAAGAATACGAAAAAAAGGGGAAAGATTGCTGCAATTTTTCTAAGTTAGAGGTCTTGTGATAAATACTACAATAGTTGGAGAAGAGAGGGTTGAGGACAAAGTCATTTAAGTTTGTCTATTTTGGTCTATTTGTAAGTAAAACATAGTTCTTTTTTGATTGGATTGACTGGTTAGTTGAATGAACAGGTCATTAGGGTTTTTTGAGGGGACACATCTGAACATACCCATTTTCATCCAGGTTCTTTTTTTTTGGGGGGGTTTTGGTGAGGCAGTTGGGGTTATGTGACTTGCCCAGGGTCACACATCCAGGTTCTTAAAAATTCTCTTCTCAACTTAGTTGATATCAGATAGATGGGATTAAGGAGAAAAAAGATGGGAAAATATTTAAAAACACAGGAAGCTGTTTTGAAAAAAGTAATAAGATTGTAGGATCATAGACTTATAGCTAGAAAGGCCCTTGAAGGTCCATCTACACATGAGAATAAAGGAATCTCAGAGAAGTTGAATGACTTGCCCAGGGTCATATAGGTAGTAATTGGCAGAGTCAGGATTTAAACTTGAGTCCTCTAACTCCAAATTCAGTGACATTTTCGTGGTACCATGCTTCTCTTTCTATTGTTTGTTGGAAATCTAGAGATTTCCTAAAAGGAAATAAATGAAAGCTTAAGAGAAGAAGGGACTAGGTAAGGTTGGTTTTGGTTTAGTCAGTGAATGTATTTGTATTTATCATTTGGCATACATGTATATGTATATATTATATAATGTATTAGCCACTGGTATGGTAGAAAGAACGTTGGATTAGGAATAATTCTGAGGGGCAGCTAGATGGCACAGAGCTCTGGTCTTTGATTCGGGGGATCTGAGTTCAAATCCTGCCTCAGACACTTGACATTTACTAGCTGTGTGACCCTGGGCAAGTCACTTAACCCAGATTGCCTCACCAAAAAGCAAAAAAAAAAAAAAAAAAAAAAAGGAATAACTGATTTCTTTAATTAACTATTAGTGTGACTTTGAACATGTAACTTAAATACTCTTTGGATCTCAGTTTCCTCCTCTGTAACTGAAGAGAATTGAATTAGATAATGTCTGAGGTTCCTTCTTCCTCCAAAATTCAATGATTTACGATTAATGAACACAAAATAAGATACAACCTCTGGCCTCAAAGACCTTTTAGTCTCATAAACATGTGTTCAGTTCAATTAATATTTATAAGGCATTGTACTAGTCCCTGGCAAAAATGAAATGATCCCTGTCCCAAAGCAGCTTATACCATTAGAGAGAACAGGATTTCATTAGTGTAGGATGAATGTGGTAATTTGGAATATAAAATTTGGGGCTCACATGCCTACTTTGAGTACTTTATATGTTATGATTATTGTGGGGATTTTAAATAAACATAAGATGGGAAAAGCTTTTATAGGTTGCCTACCTGAGCTACAGTCTTAGACACGAATCTGCTGAAAGGACCATCTCCTATGAGATGTTATTTTGCCTGTGCTGGTTAGAGACTTCTGAGTAGGTTAGTAAAGTTTATCTTCCATTAGTTATTACCAGTATTTTGAATTACTCTTCAAAGTTGGTCTGACTCCTAGTAGATATGGGGCACCACTCCTTCTTGAGAGTTCTAAGGAATGAAAACATCCAACTGTGATAAAAAAGGAGTCATGGAGGGGAAGGGACCTTAGTAATTGTCTAGTCTAGCCCCCTTGTTTTAAAAATGAGGAAACCAAGTTCCAGAAGGGATAAGTTACTTGCCTGTGGCCGTATAAGTAGCTGGTAAGTTTCTGAAGAGGAATTTGAACCCAAGCCTTTATAATTGTGAGTCTAGCACTCTATCGCAAAATGCATTTTGATAGATGCCAGGTCTACTGATTCAATACTCCAAATTCGTTAGCTTCCACTCTGGTAGATAGTACCTTCTGAAATTCTGAAACTTTTAGGGTTATTACATTGAGAACCACCTCACGTGTATTCTTTGTACAGTGTATAGAATATCAAATATCTACTTGAAAAAGCTTTAAAAAATTTAACATGTTTCACCTGCAGTCTGAAACATGAAGTGCTTCCAGAGGACTTATTTTCAATTTACGTAAAATCAAAAGGCCATGAAAAGAGCCATAATGTAGCCTGGAGAGTAGAATACCACCTCCGCATTTCCCACGGTGAGATGATCAGGAGGCTATGGATTTCAAAAGGTTTCTTAAGTGCTTTGGCTTCTTTTGAGAGAAGTTTTCTATAATAATAAAATGTTATTTATTATTATTACATTATTAAAATTATATTATTATTAAGGCCATTTTAATAGTTTGCTATTTGAACATTGGCCTAGGGGTCACATTCTCTTTTCGTTGTCTTACACGTGAGAGATGGGCACCTTACAGACTGAGGGCAGGAGTACACATGCTTTTATTCATTATGCTTTTACTCCTAGTTGCCTAGCTTAGTTTGATAAGACCAAGGGAAGTCATAGTTAAGGATCAGAGTTGATAGCTGTTTCATTTGTCTCACAACCCTCCTTCATCCACTTCCCCACTGCTTATGTACTCCTTTAAGTTTTTCATTCTCTTGTATTTTTATGCAAGAAAATGTAGTTTTCTGGTTTCTTATTGAAATTATAAACACATTTATTTGCACTATACACATGTGAATTCACACATACATCCAATTGAAGAGAAACTGTTGGATACTACTGGGCCGTTTTCAGATACTCAGGCATTTACTGGCCTTTGTTGGGAAGGTGCCCAATCCCAGTGAAAACTCTGTGATATACTAAGTAGGGCCTTTTTGTGCCTTGGGAAAGTTCCTCATGAATGCCACTGACTTGAGGGTGTATAGGTTCATGTCATGCTTATCATACATTGTTAGCTGTTTATGTATGTTAGGTTACTCACTATAAGTTAACTCTAAGGGTGTTAGTTTGGCTTTTTTTTTTTTTTTTTTTTTTTTAAGCACCAGTGAGAAAACCTCGGTACCTATGGTATCATTCACTATGTAAAGACTTTCCCTTTCCCCATTAGTTCTCATTATCACCAGGGTTCAATTCAGAGGCCTTAATCAGATGTTTTCGAAGTAACCATATGGACCCACTCAGTTGATTGTATGTACTGAGGAACAACTTTAACGACCTCCATTCTACCTGTAACTAAAGGCGATTCTTCTAGGTTTTAGTCAACAGCTTATTTAATATTTGGTGCCTGCATCCAAATTAGGATGATAAAGCACTAAATGAGGTTGTCTTGAGGGCATTTGTATTATCCAAATTTGATGGTCTTTGATTGTTGCCAGTTTGACAACTGCTAGCAGCATAGGGACCACTGATAGGTAAGTCATGAGAAAAAATTTAGGTTTCAGTGATTTGCGCTCCTAAATTGCAGTTGTTTCAGGGATATGTAGATGTCTTACGTTCTAGGGGTGTATAAGCTCCTTGAGGGGAGGGACTGTTTTTCATTTTTGTCTTTATGACCTAGCATTTATCACAGTGCTTTGTATATAGTAAGCACTTTCTAAATGTTTGTTTTAGAGGCCACCTAAGGGGAATGCTGCCTTTTTGATACCTGGGGATAGCCTTTGTCTGTACTTTTCTTCTGCTTCTCATGTGGGTGCTTCCTTACATTGTCCTTTTCAGACTTTCTTGGTAATCACCTGGTGGTTTAGATTTTAAGCTCCTTGGGTGAAGAGATTGTCTTTTGCCTCTTTTTGCCTCCTCAGCACCTAGCCCAGTGCCTGGCACACAGAAGACACTCACTAAATGTTTATTGAATTGAATTGATTAAACAACCATTGGTAAAACCAATTGACAAGCAATTTATAGGAAAAAAATAGATTTAATTGAAGTAAAGAACACTTTGCTAGATGAAAAATATCCAAGAAATTTCATCTCCAGTCCTGCTTTAAGGGATTCTTCTTAATGAGCTGTTGCTATTAATTATCTAAGAGGTGTTTGTCTTTGCAAAAGTCAATTTTTTTTTAATGGAAAACTTTTTATGTTTTAGACTGTTCACAATGGAGGAATGAAGAGTGCCTGCTTGAAGGACTTATGTCCTGAAGACAAAAGACGTATTGCAAACTTAATTAAAGAGCTTGCCAGGTGAGACTAACCCTCATGTGATAATACATTGTGCCTAAAGAGTGCATTTCTTTTGAAGATAATCAGTGAAAGAAACTATTTTGGTGAATTGCCATTCATTGTCATTTGATCTTATGGGGACCAAAAGTATTTGAATATCAGACTTGTTATCCCATCTGAGAAAGAGATATTCTGTGGTCAGAAAACCAACATTCCTCTGTTCATTGTATCTTTTGTTTGAAGTCCCAGATTGGTTGGTATGAACCTTTATAGAAATCATTTATCATGAGGGAAAGTTTGAAACAGAGCAATACTATTGAAGTAGGTTGGTATTGCTGTGATCAGAAGCACAGCAGTTTTCCTTTGATCCATCTAGTTAGCCTTGCTTCATTATCTGAACAGAAATTGTATTGTCTATTGTAAAAATATCCTTTTGTCATTTTGCTGGCTTCTAATACTTTTTGATAAGGAGATGTTTGAGCTTTGAGGGGTTGTATTTCTGATCTGTTTACCAATCAAATTCATTATGGATGTGTGCAAAAGCAGAACTGAACTTGTACTACCTGATTAATATTTGCTTGGTGATTGTGTGTGACTTCTTTGTGAATATGTATGCCAGTTCTAGGACTCTCAGATACTTATATCATAAATGAAAATTTTTGTAAGGAAATGTATAAAATATGTTTTGGTAAATAAGCAGTGAAACACAGGAAGTCCTGATTTGAAAATAATAAAACTATGACATTTTCCTTAAAATTATACATTGCATTGAATTCTGGTAAGTAACTTGCGGTTATTCCTTGGTTTCAAATGATTAAAATAGAAGTTAACTTTTAGATGTTTCCAGTTTTATTTCAACTGTTATAATTCTTTAAAAAAATTTTTCTTTGTAAGTGCTTTCTTTTTTTTTTCTGGCTAAAAGCATAAAATCTCGGGAATGCCAAAGGCATTGTTCTCTGGTGTGATACACCTGGGGAGAAGTCTGAAGCACTGTGTTCTGATGTAGGAATACATCCTGGAACAAATTAACTTTTTCATCTAGACTCTTTTGGCTAGGTATGACTCATGTGGGTGAAGTTTTCATCTAAATCAAAGTGTGTTTTTTTCTGTTTTAGGTAAAGGTTCTTTGTCATCCTTAGTGTTTGAATTTTATTCTCTGTTGCATTATTTCCCAAATGGGCAAAAGTAATTGTCCTGTCTCATGTATGCAAAAGAGGCTGAAAAGCCATTACATTTAATTCAACTCTGCCTGTCCATGGCCCTTGAGGTTCCTTGTAATCCTGACCCATTTCATTTCAGCTACTTGGAACTGGAGAACTTTCCTGAAGAAGTAAAGAGCAGCAGTTTACCTTTATAAATCCTCTCATCCAGTGAAAGCCTTATCATGTAGGGATGGTTGATGAATAAATGAATGAAAAAGCATTTATTAAGCTCTTATTATGTGTTTTGTGCTACAGATACAAATAGAATCAAACCTGCCCTCAAGCAGCTTACATTCTTATAGGGGAAGATAACATATAGAGAAGTGGTGACCAAGGAGGAGAATTTTGTACAGGAAAGTTAGAGAGATGGTGGATCAGAATTTTAGGGAAATTGATTGATATGTCTTTTTCAGCAATGATGGTATTGATTTGATTACTGTTCTTAGAACTACATTTGACTAGAGAGGAGGATTAGCATGGAGAGAAAACGGCATGAGGATGACCAGGAAGTAGCTTGTTGGGAAGTAGTAGTAAAGACCCAACTCCCCAGGGTGGGAACTTTTAGATGCTAGCAATGCAAAGAAAGTCGGAAATAGTCCCTGCCCTCAAGAAGCTACACATTCTGATGGGGGAGACAGCATGCAAACAACTATGTACAAACAAAACATATTACAGGATAAACTGGAGATAAACAATAGAGAGAAGACACAGTAACATTAAGGGGGACTTGGAAAGGCTTCTTGCAGAAAGTTAGTAGGTGTTACATTTTTGTATTTTTTAACAAATGCATTTAAAACCCACTGAAACTTGTCATTTAGAAGATTTTTAAACAATTTAGAATATTCTGTTTTTAAAGCATGCTGATACAAGAGTTTTTATAGGTGATAAGAAAAAAAGTTTTAAAATATCTTATTGTGTTGGATTCATGCTGTAATTAGCTAATAATATCTCAAGATACAATTATGGAGAGCCATTCTTATTTGTAGTGGATGTAAATCCATATTTCAGGAAGTCTTGATAACTTTGAAGTTTTTGTCAGATCAGATCAGATAACATTACTTTTACCTTGTGTAATATGGCTAATGAAGAGCTAGTATTAGGAAGAGAAGTGTTAGCATTAACGTTTTCTTATTGGTATCTTGTGTTTGCATTAACATTATTTTCAATACATAGTTTCTTTGCAGGAGTCTTTTTAAATCACTTATCAGTTTTATGAAAGTTAGTTGAAAGTAGACAATATGATCTGTAATTTCACTGAACTGGGCATATTAAACAATAATATGTCTGAAAGTCAGTGAACCCACTATCAATCTCTCCATGTTGATGAACTCTCATTCTTCCATTAGGATACCATATGTGGCATGTAACCATCTGACATACAGATTCAGGGCTCCCGTATCAATCCATCTCTTAAATGTTATTAAAGATTAATTTCTTTTTACTTGTGGATAAAAAATAATTATCAATCAATAAACGTGTAATAGTTTTGATAGACAGTAATTAATATAGTAACATAATTTGTAACATAAACATGATGTTATAGTCTGTTGTATCATCTTATATATTTCACCTTGGGGACTTCTCCTTTAGATCATTGGATTTAGAAAATTATATGTAGCTTGGCATATTGACATCAAGTATCAAACTGATTAGAAAAGTCTGTGGAGAGTAGAAACTCTTACTTAATAGCAAAGCATATGGAAACATTGAATTTAAGTGATTCAGTAAAAAGGTGCTGAATTTAAAGTCAGAAGAGCTGGATGCAGATCTTTTTTTTTTTTTTTGGAGTCCGGGCAGCCCAGAGCCAGCCAGGCAGTTATATTCAAATACTTTTAAATAATTTGCATGTTGGTCTTGTGTGTCAGCCACACCCCATGTGTCCATGTCAGTGATGCCATGTGGACCCTGGAGGGTCCTGGGGGTTTGGCTAAGGACTGCTCTAGCCTTTGAATCCAAGCTGGTTTGGGGAGGGTGTTCTGTGGCTACCAATTCTGACCCAGCCACCACTGCCCAATAGCAGACTCCAGTCTCTTAAACCTAGGCAGGGAGTGGATTGCTGAGGCTGGCATGGATTCAGATCTTGGCTTTGACATTTCTTAGCTTTGCCACTTCATACCTACGTGACCATGGACAAGTTACTTAACCTTTCTGAGCTGCAGTTTCCTCATCTTTAAGAGGAGAGGGTTGGACTATTGCCATTTTTGTCATCTTTGTTAGTTTTTGTAGTGTGAAGTATAACCTTAGGGCTGTTTTAATTTTCATTTCTCTTATTTGTGATTTGCTGAAGCTATGAATAGTCTCAATTAATGTGTTTGCTGATTCCCTAGGACTTTCCAAATATACCAAAATATCATCCTCAAATAGGGACAGTTTTATTTATTTTTTTAACTATCTTTCTGCCTTTAATTTCTTTCTCTTATTGTTAGCATTTCCAGAGCGACATCAAATAATAGTGGGGAAAGAGGGCATCCTTCTTTGACTCCTGTATTTATTGGAAAAAATTCTAGTGTATCCCCGTTGTATATGATGCTTGCTTTTGGTTTTAGATAGATTTTAAAAAATAATACTCCTCTATGCTTAAACTTTTAGTTATTTTAGCATAAATGAATGTTATATTTTGTTAAAGGCTTTTTCTACATCCATTGAGATCATCATGTGGTTTAGGGTATTTTGGTTTTTAATATGATGAATTATGTTGACTATTTTCCTATTATTGAATCTTTCTTGCATCGGAGGTATAAATCCACTTTGGTCACAGGGAATGATTTCTTGGATATGTCTCTATGGCCAATTTGACAAGATATTGTTTAAAATTTTCGGATCACTATTCATGAATGATACTGGTGCATAGTTTTCCTTCTGTATTTTATCCTTCCCTGATTTAGATATTAAAACTATATTTTACTTACAAAAAGATTCTGGTAGGATGCTTTCTTTCTCAGTTTTTAAGAATAATTGGTGTACTATGGGCACTAATTGTTCTTTAAAAGTTTGATAAGATTTTCCTGTGACTTCATCAGGACCAGAAAGTTGTTTTTTTGGGGGGGGAGTTGGGTGGGTGGGGTGTCCTCAGCTAATTCTATTTCCTTTTTGAAATTAAGTTATTTAAGAGCTGCATCTAGTCTTCTGATAATTGGAATATTTTATATTTTTGAAGATATCCCTCATTTCTTTTATGTTCTCATTTTTGTTAGCATCTAAGTATGTATAATATGCTCTGATTATTCCTTTTATTTCTTCTGATTTTGTTTGGAATTCACCTTGTTCATTTGCTATTTTATTGTTTTGATTTTCTGCCATCTTTTTAATCAGATTGCTAAAGGTTTATCAGTTTTATTAGTCTTTTCAAAGAATCAGTTTTTTGTTTTATAATTTCTGTTTTTTTAGTTTCCAATTTATCTATTTCTTCTCTAATTTTTAATATCAGGAGCTGGAGGTATAGTGAATAGAGTGTTAGACCTGGAGGAGGTTAGACCTGAATTCAAATTTGGTACCAGACACTTATTAGCTGTGTAACTCTAGGCAAATTACTTCATCACTCTTTGCCTAATTCTCCCCAGATGTAGGGAATGATAATGGCATCTACTTTGAAGGGTTATTGTGAGGATAAAATGAGCAAATATTTTTAATATACTTTAATATATATATTATATATACATATATAATGCCTGTCATATAATAGGTGCTATATAATTTCTTGTTCCCTTTTCTCCCCGCCCACCTCCCCACTCTGCTAATGGCTCATCATTTGTGCTTATTTTAGGTTTATTTATTATCTTTCTAATAAAAAATGCATATTCAGTTCATCAATCCTCTTTT